GATAAAGCATACCTTAATGTCAAAGATGACACACTTAGACTTGATATTTGCTTAGTTAAATCGAATTCCGTTTGTTTGATTGGATATAATTTAGTTGTCAGTTGCTAATGACTGATATGTGGCAAAACTCAAAGTCAAAAGTTTGAAGCTAAGTGAACCTTTATCATTATAATTTGATTTATAGACTTCACTCCACCCAGTATTTGCTATCTGGTGGATGTACAGTTTATTGGTAATATATTATTTACGTCCTATACTGTCTGCATGATAAGATTTATTGTGTGAATAACTTCTTTCAACTGAGCTCAGTTTTTGGAGGACCGGAAAAATCTAATGTTTCGATGCCCAATATATCTAAATGGTTCAAATGGTTGTGGACGGAATAGGAGAAGCTTTCGCTTAACGGGCTTCCGTATCTAGTAGCAGTGGATCACCAATACCTCCAGGCAGGAACCTAGGTATGTTAATGATAACAGAGGGAAAAAAAGAACATGTTAAATCATAATAAGATGTTATCCTTAGTCCTTTAGAATAGGTCCAGTTTCCTCTTAAAGGACTCCTGGGAAGTGGCTCGGACTAGTTCAGTTGGCAGCGAGCTCCAGCATTTGACAACTCCTAAAGAGTAGAAGTTGTGTTTGCAGTTCATTCTGCTATGTTTTGTCTCCAATTTCTGGGTGTTACCCTTTAGGTTTGTATTGGGACTAAGCTTAAGTAGGTGTTTAAGGAGATGTCCAGAAGTATTAAGGATACTGTAAGCCATTAGAAGGTCACCCCTAAGACGCCTGTACTCTAATGGGTAAAGTGTAAGTGACTGGAGGCGCTCTTCATAAGGTTTAAACTCGAGTCCCCGAACTGATTCCGTGGCTTGCCGTTGGATACGCTACAGAATGTCCTTATCCTTTTGGAGTGAGGGAGGAAATTCTGTTTCGTACTCTAAATGGGAACGAATAAAACTGTTGAAGATCATGTGGAAAGTTCTTCCATCAAACTGACCAGAAATGCGCTCCAATGTTGCCAGTGCAAGGTCTGCTCGAAAGGCATTTGCGTCTCAGTTAGCGTAAGACTTCGAACCGTAGGTTACCAGGACTCCTAATTATTTTTCGACTCGGGATACTACTAGAGAAGAGTTTCTTAAGTTATAACTGTAGTCTGAGACATATCGCAGATGGACTGCTTTACACTTTGAAGTGTTAAAGGTAAGTCCGTTGTCATCTGCCCAACTTTAAAGTCGAGTCTCATCCTCCTGAAGTACCAGTATATCCTCTTGGTTGTGTATCTCTATCCAAAGTTTCACATCATCAGCAAAAATTAACAAGTCACATGATACCTATTGTGGAAGATCGTTTAGATAAATTAAGAAAAGAAGAGGTCCTAGTACTGAGCCCTGGGTACCCCACTAGGAAATTCCATAGCCTTAGATAAAGTGAAATTAACCCTGACCTTAAAATGTCGATTTTTTAGATATGAAGTGACCCAGACAATTAGAGATTGTTTGATACCCAATCGTTCGAGCTTATTGGTAAGACATGTATGGTTAACCCTATCAAAAGCTTTTGAGAAGTCAAGGTAAATGACGTCAACCTTCCGCTTGCGATTAAGGATACTTGTCCATCTGTCCCCCGCATTCAGTAGGTTGGTTATGTAAAAGTGACCCTTCCTGAAAACATGCTGTTGAGGTAAGAAGTTTAATGATAGTAAATAGTCGTGTATACCATCGCATATCAAGAACTCCATAATTTTTGAAGGTAAAGACGGAAGAGTTACCGGTCGGCAACGTGGACGTTCGCTGCGTCGACCTCCTTTGAAAATTGGTGTGATGTGAGCCAGCTTCCAATTTTCCGGTAGTTTTCCTCGGCTTAGCGAGTGTGAGAACATCACGCTAAGCGGTGTTGCCAGGATTGAGGCCGCTTCCCTCAGTATAGCAGAATGAACCATATCCAGGCCAGGAGAAGCGTCTTTTCGTGGGTGCTGCAGTTTCCGGAACACCAAGTCAGCGCTCAGGTTAACTTCGGAAAGTCCTGTGCAGTTGCAGATGAAGCTGTCATCAGTATAGTTGATGTGGGTCGGTTGAAGTGTCCGGGAGTATTGTCCGGCCTAAAGGTTAGCGGCATCGCCGTCGTTATTGGTCGGGGCATCGGGTCTGAGCAGTTGTGAAACTTCAGTTTTGACTTGTCGAAGACAGGCTGCTTAACGGAATAAGCTTTTCGAATTAGAGACAAGTTCATCCATAAGCTTTATCTGGTAATGAAGCTTGTATTCTCTTATAGCCTTCGTGCATATGTTCCTTATATGTTTGTATTGCCTGTACGGGCCGTTGCTATCAGTTCGTTTATATTCTGCCCATCAGTGCCTTTTGTGGCTTAACAAAGAGTGTGGCTCTTGATGATTGCAGGTTGCTTGTAGCTTTTTGGGACCGTTTGGGGAACTGACTGCTTCGTAGCACATTAGAGCGTGTTCAGTATGAATTCCAAATTAGCATCCACATCAAGTTGAGAGTAAACATTCCAATCCATCTGTTGTAGATAGTCCTGTAATGCTGACACATTCAACCCTTTGAAATTTTAGCGCCTTTTAATGGTGGGATATCTTAGCTCAGGTTTGCTGACAAAACTGAAGGCCATAACGGCGTGATCGCTTTTCTTCAGAGGAACCAGGATTGAGAGGTCGTCAACTAGGAATTCTTCGTTGGTAAATACCCGGTATCTGACTGTTTCTCCAACGAGTTGCCGACTTCACATTTTTGAATAATCCCAGATTTTCAGTGAGGTTAGAGAACCGAGTTTCAATTTAGTTTTCACATCCAATGTACGTAATTTCCGCGAAATTGACTCTAGGGAGTTTGAAGTCCCCTAGAATCAGGTATGTGTGAGTCCGAGACGCATAGAGCGGGATATTCTTTCCAGCATACGATTGGCGTACTCGATGTCAGCATTGGGCTTCCTGTAGATGACCACAACTAGGCACCTCGAAGTGGTAGACAATCTTACTGAGCACCGTACGGATTCATCAAGGTTGGCAAGCTCTTGATTGTGATCTTGGTGTACCTCCAGGCAGGATCGTATGGATAGGGCTACTACACTCCCGATTTCTGTTTTTCTGCCGTTGCGAAACAAAGACATCCCAAGTATTGCTAGCTCCGGAGATATCTAAGTGTCAGATATTCCCATCAGATAAGCATTATTAGTATTGCTAAGTTCATATAGCTCATCCATTTTATTTGGTAGATTCAATCAAAGTAAACTAACTGCAGAACAATTGACACCTAGTTTCATTGCAAGAATGCTTTGTCGACCTTCTACAGTCATCCGTTCTCCTGCTAACTTTTTCCCCCTTCTTCAACGTGGTCTTTACAGCACATAACTATGGAACTTTTACCCAACCTTTGATCATCATCTAATATACTCACCCATCAATGTTGCAGTTTTGCCAAACGCTTTCTTCTCAATAACTCCTGACATACTTAACTTATTGAGGATTTTCCTCACGCAAATTAATTCTGTATTCACATGGTATGCCTCCAGGAACATTCTTTCCTAAAGTTTCGCCGACATACTGAACTGTTCGTCTTGATAATCTTAACGGGAGAATGTCTCATATGTAAATTTGTGTTCTGAATTAGTGATCATGCTTGCAAGAATGTTGTTTGCATCCTTGGTCAGTGATTACGCTGTGTGAAATTTTAGGGTTTGTGACAGATCCTCAGGATTGTATGATTTGCAAGGTGGCATGAAGGTGTAGCGGTAAATAAATCCCCAAATCAATAGCTCTGTAAATCATCAACATTTGATGCTAACCGCTTCAGTTTTGGTGGACTCACTTATCTGGAGGTGCTCGGCCCCACATTCGCACCAGATCACTAGTGGGTACGCCATGCTGCCCACCTCCTACGACCGCTAACCGGCTTAGGTTGAGCACTTCTCGATATATCGGTATCCTATCAAATATATCTTCGAACCCCTTCATTCCTGACCTTTGATTTAACTGTGTTGGCAAGTTTTGATTACAAAAGATGACACTGGTAAAGGCGTTGTTAAGCTTCGAGTACTTGTAGCGTCTTTATATGCTTTAATCCTTGATGGTCTGGGTTTGGGTTCCTATTTTTTAGGAACAAAATATTCAAATATGCGAAAAATACATAATAGCACATTCACATGACGCATAAAATAAAACATATATTGTTGCAACAGGAAACATAAAATTTTTCATTCCGTGAATTGTATCAGGTCGGGCTCACCACTAAGGTTTTCACGAGTATACCTTCCTTCACAACACTTGTAGAATTATGGTCTACTATGATGTTAGTACAACGCTAATAGTAGACCTAATCCTAAAATTTTAGATTTGTCATGATATAACTGCCTAATCTATAAGATCTTACGTGGAAGTCACATCATCGTCCACACCAACTCACTGTATCGTAACAACTACCAATACATGATGAAGAACAAGCTTAGGTTAGAGAAAGAACAATATATTTAATATGAATAGAAGATATACGGTAACATTCAGATGAACCACGCCTACATGGCGAGCCATGCCATCCGATCAACTCCAATTCATTCCACACATTCTTCCCGCATTCTCAATCGTTTGGTATTTCTCCGCGTTAAATAATGAATATCTATTTTCCGAGTTGTCTCGTGTTCAGCTTTGAGGATTGTATGGTTATGGTCCAATGCCACTACACACTGCTGTTCGCAATACCTTCATAATCGGGTATCCCAAAGTCAGTCAAACCAGAAGTCGAATAGGAAGGTTTTCGGAGATAAACTTAGAAGATAGTCAATGTGTCGAGAATTGCCTGATCTAAGCTAACTGGTTGTTGAGAGGGACGGCCTTCACGGCGTCCTCGATCGTGACTTGGTGAAGACGATCGACAGAACGCCTTCAGCTGGAGTGTGTACAGTAAAACTAATAAGTTCAGCATCAATGTCGAAGACCTACAGAACTATTTATTTTAGGGAATTATTTACGTCCATAAGCTGAATGACAATAAGTTTATATAGATTTTGCAAGTCCAACTGAATTCAAAATCCGTACGTGTATGAAAAATTGTTTTCGAATCATATTTGGCGAACAACAATGAATTATATCAACCGGTGATTACTTAAGATTTTCTATCTAGTTTTGTTTGAACTAGTCGTTGTTGAATAAGCCTGTTCTGGTCCTTTCTCTAAAGCGCGTTTTCGTAAGCATGAATCCGGAGAGGGTCGCATTGCTTAAGCAGTTTGTTGAGCTGCTTAAAGAGAAACCTGAAGTTCTCGACACCCCTGAACTGTCGTTCTTCAAAGACTGGCTTAAAAGGTATATTTTCGGTTTTGTTTATTTGCAAATAGTCTTGGGGCTAACGTTCCTGTTTCACAACCTAACCGACCCACTGAAAATTCATTTTCAGACGACTCTGGTGCAGATGAGACCTCAGAATCTGAAATAGGTTGATGTTAACAGTGATTACTAACACTTTTCAGAGTTTGATGATGAAGTGCTGCCAAAGGAACCTGTCCCAGACCTAGATATGGGTGACGATTCGATAGAAGTAACTGATGAATTGAGAGAAAAAGCTGAAGAAAAGAAATGTGAAGCAATGGCTAAAATGTCTGATGGAGACTTTACTGGGGCCGTTGATTTGTTCACCGAAGCAATTAAACTAAACCCCCAGTCCTCACTATTTCATGCTCGACGTGCAAGGTAAATCCCATTTTATCTGGCAATTCCATAGTTGCTTTGTACGAATGAAAAAGCCGTCCCATGCTATTGCAGATTGTGACAAAGCTATTTCGTTAAATCCTGATTCTGCACAACCTTACAAATGGAGAGGATTTGCTAATAAGTATGCTCTGATCGTAAATAAATCTACTCCACAGAATGATTGGTAATTGGGAAGCCGCCTATCGGGATCTTCAGACATCTTTGAGGTTAGACTACTCAGATGATGCCAATGAAGCGATAAAGGAAATCGAACCAAAGGTAATTCTTCGTAATTGAATACTTATCTGTATGTATGTCAGTATCATTTTTACTTACGAACTGCCTCGTGAGACTCATGAAAATTATCACTGTTTATAACAAAATGAGCATTAGTGTAGTACTGAGATTTAGATGGTAGTTGAAGGTAGTCAACAAAAAACCCTACCTCCAACTACCATCTAAATCTCAATACATAGTGCCCACAGTGTCGAGTCACCTAGACTGGTGGCCACATTGCAACATGATCGATAGCACTCGATCTGCACTAATAAGGACTAGACAAGCATGACATTGATCACTACCCAGTAATCGAAGTGGCTTGTGTCGATGAATTTTGCACATTTGTTTCCTTCAGTGTAGCAGGTCACCTTGTTTGTATACTTAGCATATCTATTGTTTTCAGGAGCCCAGAGTCTTGCTGACATTACCAATGCATACAACGGTTTAGGGTTGCCTAGTGAAGGATGAGTAATCTAAACGTAAATTCATCCTACCGTTGGCTCATATTTGAGTTGCTAAATACTGATCTTGATCCCTGACCATCCGGTTTACTTAAAAGAGCGTCCTGTTCTGGTAACAAAAATCAATTTCAGGCTTTCCTCCTCCCCTTTCGGACTTTCCTAATTCACTAATCCATTAAGCCATCAAAAATAAGGATTAGCATTCCTGCGACTTTGTAAATTTCATCGGCAGGCGTGCGTACACTGACTGACTTTTGCAGGGTTTATCTTGGGTGTAAGTGATCTACTTTTGGCATGAGGGTGAGTATTTTACACACTGCCCTATTACGTTTTGGTTATTGAACGTATCTAAAAAACCCACGTGGGTTAGTCGTTAGTGGTGATACCGTCGTGTGAATAACACTGAGCTCAGCCGTAATGTATTAAAGCGACGGTTCGATTACTAAGTATTTAGACTTCACTGAGATCGTTTCGTAGCCCTGGTCCGTCGTCTATGGCAAATTCGGGGTACCTGGTCGGTTTTGTGACATGGTTGAGGTTGTGACGTCAGCCAGATGTACATTTCTGACCTGACTGTTAGGGTAATTGTTGCTTCACGGTACATAAAATGTCGAAAGTCGACTAGTCAAATGGATGTGTTTATTTCCTTGCATACTGGCCGTAATCTGTGGTTTTACCCTTCCTTAATATGTATTCCGTACATTTAGTCCACTGCTCCGCGTGTCTAGATTTTAGTCTTGATGTGACGTGTAGCAACTCTAACGGAAGCAACTTCTGACCGCATCCTGTATTATTAAAGGACAATCCCAACTTTGATTTCAATTTTACGCACATGTTTGTTACAGTTATTTTGGTATTGTTTTCCGAATAGCACAAACGAATCTTCGAACATAACATGAAGTACGAGCGTAAACGACAAGAAAAGCTAGAACGAGAAAAACGCGAGCGAATTCGAAAAGCACGAGAAGAGCGTGAACGCGCCCAGAGAGTACGTCAACTTGTTTTGTTTGTACTTGAAAGAATGATTGTGTATAAATTTGTCTTTTTACTGAGTTATTTCAATGCCTGAGAGTAATCTACTGTGAACCATAAATTTTGTTTTTGTAGTGTGTACTATTCTCCGTTCATAAGTATTTATTTCCAAGTTTGTATATTTAGGTGTCCTCACACAAACGTCTATCGATTTCATTATCTATTGACAAGTCGACCTTTTTTAAAAACAGCAAAGCGAGTTCAACTTAGACTTTAGTCATTTTAAATACGAAGCTTATAAATTAGGTCACTTTGAATTCCTTATGTTCAAAAGTGGAATTCAACTCCAAAGTGGTTATCTTAAAACCACTTTAACTTATCTGATCGCTTAGGAAAGTCAAACCTATATTTTTTTATTTTGGAATGAGTGGTCTTTTTGTTATTACCGATGTACCGCTCTACCATAATTATTGGTTAAGTGGGCTTGTTTGTCGTAGCTTTCAATTTTCCCATTTTTCCGTGAATAGGATACAGAAAAACCCGATTTCGACATTCCAGGAAGCGGTAACATTCCAGGCATGGACAATATGTTTTCTCAACTGTTCAATGATCCAGAATTGATGTCTGCTATCCAGGTAAATATCATATAGTTTTTAAACTCATTCTGCACAGCACTTGCCCGTGTTTTTGAAATCATCGTTGAGTCTGGTGACTAAAGTCGGATCATTTAGAACCTAACCTGTATTTTAGGGACTACCAAATATCGTCAGTCTGATTTATCTAGTTAGGAAATTCCTGATGTTTATGTATAGGATTTGTAGTTTTTTTTAGTCTTCGGTAGTAAAAAGAGACTAGCAAGATAATCCGAGTGTTGAGGTTCTAACAGTTTAATTATAAACAGCAAAGTAAATTCTACGGTACTCACTATTCCATCCATAACCACTGATATCTTAATTATCTAATAATAATGTTAATAGGTAGTCACTAATTTGCTTCTATTTCATAGCCTGCTAATAGCAGATTTTTAGTTTCGAACGGTATTCTTACAAGTTATACTTGACTTCTATGTGATCAAAGGTCTATAAAAAGTGCTCCAAGTATAAATTCCTACTTTTAGGTTTAAGTTCAGTTCTGCTAGAAGTTGATCCACGTACTTTAAAGTTTTTGTTTTATAGATCAAAAAGCTATGTTTAATCCATTCTTACATACTCGCATTAACTTTTTTAGGACCCTGAAGTGATGAAGGCATTCAGCGAAGTATGCTCGAACCCAGCTGCCATGGATAAATACAAAAACAACCCCAAGGTAATGAAGGTCATTGAGAAAATGAAGAATAGATTTGGTGGCGGTGGTGCTATGCCCGGTAAGTCAACCATACCGACAGATTGGGATTTGAATAACGTTTACAAACTTATATACACCTTAAAGTGCACTTTCTTTTCGATGTATCAGTTAACAGATTTGTAGTTAGTATAGGTAATCAGATTTTTGAACAGCGTATATCACTATAGCCACGTCCAGTAATGATAGACAGACATTTAAATATAAAATTTGTCTAATAAAACATTTTCCTAAGTATTCTTGATATCAAGATCCAGCTACATGATCGTGAATAATACTGCAGCTTGTAGAAGTGGTTCAATGGTATTTTCACCAGTCTACAGACCGGTGCATGTGCTAAGAATTTGCACTCGACTCCATTGAATTGGTGAGTTGCGCTTTTGAATTTTACGCAGTAAATGGCGTCCAACAACGTTATTCCAAAACCTCATATGACTCTTAGTTGGGCTACATTTCATTGGAGTCAAAACATTCAGTTGTTCATTTTATTAAAGACCTATCGGTCTACCTTTTGCTTACTCAGCTATGTTTAAAGTAAATAACAAAATAAAACTTGTCTATTTTATCAAACGTATTTATAAAAACGGTTAGCTTCGTAGTATATTCCTCATGTATTCAATGTGGATAAATTTTTAGGAGGTATGCCGTTCGGAATGGGTGGAGCCGGGTTCAATATGCCTAACCAGTCATGTCCAGGTAAGATTTGATTAATAAAAAAATAACCTGTTTCTGTGTCATTTAGATCTAGACTAGGTAAAGAAACATTGACCTCAGTCATCTGGTGATTCCATTTAAATACATTTAATCCCTCGACATTTTCGTACATATGAATAAAAGCTTCCAGACTGTTTTCTTTTCTTCTGCATTAGCTGTTATGGGTTTACCAATTATCAATAGAGGGGTAGGGTTTTCTTCGTTAAGTTCCAGATAATTGGCGGTGAAATAACGCAGATTCTGTTTTACGTTATACTATTACAGTCATTAATTGCTTCATAAGTAGATTATTCAGTTACTTTTGGAATCAATATTGAGCTCTTAAGTGTTTTTTATGGAATGAAAATCGAATGACACTACACCGTATATACGTTGCTCTTAAATGTTCAGTAACTTAACCGGCAGTCAGTATTTAAGTTCAGGTTATATTGTGACACCATATATATATATATATATATATATATATATATATATATATATATCAGATGTACAAATACTTTTAACTTGGATCATCAATATCTGGCAAACTAAGTTGCACGAGTTGCTTTGGTACCGGTTTGGTTGTTAGGCGACACCAGGAAGCTGGCTCATAAAATAAGTCTATATTAAAAACTGAAAGGGAACACATGTGTGTCGGAGGTGAATTTCATGGTATGTTGAAATGCCTTCCTAAAGGGCTGGCTTATGCGCAAACGGGAATCAATGTGATAGTCGCCACACATTAAAGATAAGCGTTTTGTTTAACAAAGTCCATTTCGCCGAGTTGTCAGCATAAATGTAGCGTGAAAAAGGGCGGATATGGTGATATAGTAAACCCATTGTCTGATTGATTGGTCCCCTATTATAAAAACAATGTAACTACCATAAATAGTCGTACTTTGAAAACCACCAGCAAAACTCGTGGTATAATGAATTGGGAAGTGTCTGAATCCATATTGATACGCCCACTAAACATATAAATGTACGCTATGTGTTTGTATAACAAACGCTAAATACAGTGATGTGCTGTTAAATATTGGTTCAATTCGTGGTCACACATGTAGGATGGTAAAAATTTGTAGATGAGGTGGGTATTTTTTTAATAGTATGTAATTTAATAGCGGACTTTTAATTATCTCCCTGAGCTAGGCCAGCGCACCGTGTTTAGGTTTTTTAACTATGGGCGAACCACCAATGTTTCTGTTAGCTGTTTCGGTAAGTGGCCTTGTCAGTTTGGAGATCAGTGAGCTGCGTCCAATAATGTGAACAAACAGATTTAATTCATGGTTATTTAAATTATCCCATAAACCAACTTAGAGCAACATCAGGCCAAATTTCTAGTTATTAGAGTTAATCGAGATCATGAGATAAAGAAGTCATTTAAGGTGAATGTATGTATGATCATACATTAATCTACTTGCTTCACTATTTTTGCATTGATTTCGATTTACGATTGATATGAGAATGGACGACTTAAGGTGTTCTAGTTCCAGTAAGATGGTAACATCAAAAAGTTTTCGGATGATTGGGGACCAACTAAGGTCGAAGTCACATCTCATGGTTAGTACTTAACTTAAGTCATCCCTTTAATCGTATCCAGGTTCCGTGGATGCTTTGATGACTAAAACAAACGACGTTACCAAAATGTATTAGTAAGAGTAGGTACAAGGAAGAGTGCGATCATCACCCCATGGACCAGTCCATGGTTTGCAATTAACTAGTGCGTGTTGGTTATCCTTGAACTTGATGAGGATCAGTGAACTGTGCGACATTCAGTGACCCGACTGTCGGATGGTTTGGCTAGGGCTCAGTGACATTTTACTGGGCCTACAATTTTGCATCGATGAACTCATTTTAAATGAAAAATAGTGATTAAACAAAATCACAAAAGTTATTGGTTATGATGGATAATATATTTTCCTTTCCCTCGAATCAGGAAATTTAACTTTGTGGTTTACGAATGATTGATTTTTGTGGTTTTGTATGTATGTATTATCGTCATTCAAATGTCTTAGTAGTGTAAATTTATACTATGGTTATCCACATTTTTGTTGATGTTTAGTACATGTGAAGTAATCAACGCTTTCGGCTATTTTTTGTTTCCGTTCGTTTAGGGAGTGCCATAAATTTGAATGTAATTTTCACTAGTTTTTATCTCGAGTCTGGAGGTGTACACAACTCTCCGCTATAGATATATTTGTGCAGCGCAGTGTAACACGCCAGATGAAAAATAAATACAGGGCTTGAATTGAAGCCACTTTAAAAAATACATAATAAAATGAGCACACATCTACTAGATGAACGGAAAGTACTGGATACTTCGCATTCACTGAACATGGAAAACGTCCAGCCGTAAACTTGTCAGACTAATATAAACAGCTATTGTTGTAGGACATTACCAATGTGAGCATAAATGATCAGTTTTAATTAAGATATCAGTCAATGTACCTCTGTTAAAAAACAGTAGTAAATGCTTCTGGACATTGAATTTGACATCGTTAACGGTAGATTACAAATCGGTTTAACTTTCGTTAAGATATTAGTATGCATTTCTGAATTGTTCCTATCGTGCTATTATATTTCAAGACTTAGAGACGATATGAAAAAACACTCCAGAAATTTTCCAAAAAACCATCCAGTGCATCTTAAGGTATTCGGACGATATACATCATAAAAATTAGCGCTGGGATAAGTAGAAGGATATACATTAGGTGCGTAATATTGGGATGACTTTGGAATTACCGTAACAAACTTTCAGCCTATCTTAACACAATCAGGAAATGGCTATTTGTGTGTGTGGATAATTTCAGGTAAATAAGACAACAGTACTACAAAGTGTAAAAAAGTTCTATAAAAATAATTTATCGAAGTCTTCTACAAATTACTCTGAATGTAAATCAAAAATACAGAATTAAATTCACTCACACGGATATAAACCATCCGGTTTCTTAAACCTTTATAATAGCCCAATTAGATTTTAGCAGGTCCCATGTGTTCTTTGTTAGGATTTTCATGACGAAATGGTATCAGCTGTATTGAAAAATTAATCTGTAACTATGTGGATGAATAAATTCCTCGTAAAAATCTGATTGAAATTAGAAGAGTTGTTCGTACATAAAATATAATGTCACGAGGTCAAAGTCCTTTTCAGGACTAAAAGTCTAGTTGAAAGATTTAGGGACACTGATGTGACGAAATTAAAACAAATTCCCTGAGTTGTTCTTTGTCTGTGTGATCGGACCGTAATGCAGGACGGGAGTTGTATTCTACTCCGGGTATTGATTAATTCGCCTAAATTATCTATCTTATACAATATCTTCTGCTAAACAATAGTACGACGATAGTGGGAAAACAGCTGAGATCAATACTTAACTACTGTTGGTCCAGAATGCAGTTTTCCCATGATTGCTTGTCCAATAATCAGGATAAGACAACATAGAACGTAAAAATGCTATAACTACATAGTTCAAATTTATGGATCGTTCATACGGTGATATTAAGTAGAATCCTGACCATAAATTAACATATTTAAGAAGTCACAGTACATGCACACTACTTCATATTTGAAACAACTGAGTAATGGATCTATACTAATTTAACAATAACTTTAGAAAGGTAAAACAGTTTATCCATCACAGAAAAGCTTACTAGCATGGTCATACAATAAATTAAGTAATAATTATACAACAAAAATATAACACGTTCAGGTAAGGTAGTTCCGGAAATTCAACTTCCTTTGATATTTTCCCCATAGTAGATGTCTATTTGCCCGTTAGATACAACGTACAGAGAAATAATCAAACATCTTATGCGTTTAACACTTCTATCTTTACCTCATGGTTAAAAAAAATGATGTTCTTTTATCATTTTAAACGTTCTGGGCACCATAAAACGATATTTCTACTGCTCGTTACATGTGATATCTGAGTTTCTCATCAACATTTCTATTCTAAGTGGCTCATCCTCATATTGTTTTTACTGGATACATATCCTTGAGATTTCATTCAAATATTTATCGAATATCATACAGAATATTGCTATCATTAGTAATATCTGGATTTATAATGATTATGAAACATACAAATGAATATTTCATTTTTTTTCTTGCTAATAAAAATGGAACCGGATAACTAAAACAGAAGTCCTACATAAATCGATATTGAAATTTAACTTCTATTATTAGGTATTATATCCATGAGAAAACTATTAATGTAACCTTACATTAATAATGACTAAATCATACCGAAAAAAGAGAACAAAGTCGTATACAGATTATTATTTAATAATAGTAAGTTTATCAAAGTGTATATTGAAAATTATTAAAACTAAAGAACGACTAAAAATTAGAAGTATCTTTTCACTAGGTGTAGATTATAAAATGAACTAAAATTTTGATTTGAAAAATCATAAACATTTATGATAGCAATTAGTCGTTGTGAATTGACAGAATATTTCCCAGATTTTTTTTTTTATAGAGATTGTCGAATCTAATCTCATCTAATATTTACCAAATCATGAGCTTTGTTGAATATACCTTTTTGAGTGTGTGAATTACATATGATATTAGTAAGAATAAGTCTGTCACATCATCATCACTCGGTAAGAATTACATGATAATTTTGTTTCTAATTCAAATTATATCTCAAACAAAATTTAACAGTCATCTGTAAGCGGTTGTAGAGATGGTTGAATTTCATTGAACTCATGAAGTTAGACATTAAGGCCTTTGAATGAGGATTCAGTAGCCTAAAAGTTAAGCGTTCTCGAACGTGGTCGAAGGTTCTTGGTTCGATTTCCATATTCGGGGTCGTGGATGCGCACTGCTGTGGAGTGTTCCTATACTGGGGAGGAACGGCCATCTAGTACTTCAAGTCTTTCAATGGTGGTCTAACTTAAGTCGGTACAGAATCTCAATGAAATTATTCAATAAGAATTAGCTCAATTTTCTTTTGTTCAAAGTTCAATTCATTACTGATGCACTGAAATAACTGGAACTTTTCTGTCTAGTAAATGCTGGAAATTCAAGATGTTCATTCGATTGGTGTTCATGTTATGAAAATTATCGAGAAATTGTTTATATAAGCACTAATTACGTGTCTAAACACAGAAACATAGATTGTTATCTTGAATAATTTAGTCTTTTTAGTTAAAATAGTCAACTTCGAATTAGACAAAACCGATTTATACAATCCACATGAAATCGTTATCACACTAATATGGCTTCTCATCAGTATAACCTAACGAATCACATAGTCAACCAAGTTATCATTCAACAACCGAGCTGATTTCAGAAATCGTATTGATCACTTTCAATCTCTTCCAAGTCCGCAAAGATAGCTCACTTCTTCATGGAAGTATGTATCTAACCTGTAGATGCAACACTAACAGATTTCATAATTATGACTGTCATGAAATGATTTATCGATATACATCATACTGATAACTGAAAAATATAAAGCCATCCACAACTTGATTAAATTTATTTGTTTCATTGATAGAAACCAAATGGTCAACCTTCTGAAATGAAGTGACTGGGTTAGAAATCAAGATTTCAGTTATTGAAATAGAAATCAGATCAAGGGTCAAGTGAGGGAGAAATTTTTCTACTCTAGACTTTGATCTATGTTCAGTACAAAATCATTTCTCAATTTATGCTGTTACGAGTTAATCACCCCAAAACTATACGAAGATTTTCTTTACATTGTAATTTTTATTTGCCTGAATGTGTGTATAAGAGTGGTATTTTTTCCGTATGGGAAGTCTTACAAACTGATATGATGGAAAGAAAAGTCAATTTTCGATTGATTTACTCATTATGAGTTTTGTTCAAGATCACTTCCGTTTTGATTCAATGTAATGATTACTCAATGTGGTATTTGTTCTTTTCTCGTATGATATTTTATTCTGTATTCCTTTGATATGAACTATGCTCAGTATGTGATACTTTATAACTCTAAGTATTTTTCATATATGTGATTACATTCTAATTATTAATCAAAATGGGTGTACAATCAATATATAAATGTATGTATTTTCTACTAGAATCGTCGTCGTCGTGTTTTGGGGTTAATAAATCATCACTTATACCAGTT